TCCTTGTCCACTTGACCAGGTAAGACAGTCTTGTAGGTGTCTTCCTGTTTCCCAGGAACACTGCTTCATCCATGCCAACAGGATGATGCAGAGACTTGCGGTTGGGGTGTAGGACTCACACCATTTTGCCCGACAGGTGCAGCAGGAAGATCCCACAAGCCAGCCAAATGGCTCCTTGATGTTTAAATGCAAAATCACCTCCTCGGTCATCTACAGTTCCTAGATCTGGAGGTCTCTGAGGTGTGCACCCTTGTTGAGATCTGAGGCATCTGACACCAGATTGAGGGAGGGAGCACAATTGTCAAACAGAACCCCTTCTAGGGCATTCTCTGGATCAATCCATCACTGCAGAGTGGTGAACACCATGAGGGGATGGTTATGATCTGTTCCAGGTGATCCCTGGACTGGGAATACATCAATACCAGCTGGAAAGGTCACATATGCACCTGTCGGACACTGTGCCTCCGAGGGTCTCTGGTCCCTTGCCACAGAAGTCTGTCTCAAGTCTCTCTGTTGGTACCCAGAGTCTGGTGACCAGAGAAGGGTCCTCTGCATCTACCTCCTGAAGTCCGAGGTATGTCAGCTTCCAGCAAGTGACCAATGTTAGGAATTTCCCCATGACAGGAAATGGTGCCACTGAGGTGAGGGAGGATGGAAGGATCCCACGGCAGGCTTACTCTGAATTAAAGACACTGCCAGAAATGGTGTGGGTGGCACCGGGAGTGACAGGATCTCCTGCACAGCTTGAAGAGCTCCAGGTACCACTGGCACCCGAAGCTGATGAAAGCTCTCCTCTGTGTCCAGGCTTCCAGGCAAGGAACAGGATGGGCTCATTGACAGAACTGGCAGGGCACTGCACACCAATGTCATGGTGCTGCTCCAGTGCCAGAGTGAGCACCAACTCCACCAGGAGTGCACTCAGTCTAATTTCTCACTAGTTCTTAGTCCTCGATATAAACTATTTACAAATGTGACATTTGTCACTTATATGTCCTTCACCCAAGAACCTAAAACAGCTACTATGTGAGTCACTGGACATAGGATATTTACAGTGATCACAGAGTTTAAAGGTACACCCCATCCCCCAACTATGTTGCAGGTGGGACTAACACACAAACTACTGCTAAGGTAACTAATACTAAAACTATGGCAATTTTACAAAGTTTCTCTGAATGAAGCCTACATAACGGGAGAGCAGTGAACATTCTATGCACTGACATTGGTGGCAAGAAGAAACTGAGGGTGAGTGGAGTACACAGCACCTCTTATACTGTACCATAAGGGCACCATTCCAATGGTCACCGTTGGATACTGCAGAAGGAAAATCTGGCACAGGTTCTTGTGGTGAGCACACACATCTAATGTGGAATGGATATGAGCAAATACTGAGGAACTATCTTTATAATTAGAATTCTCCTAATATTTAACTTAAATCTCCCTTGCTGCAGATTAAGGCTATTATCTTTTGTTCTACGTTCCATGGACACGGAGAACAGATCACAGTCCTCTTCAGAACAGCCCTTAATATATTTGAAGATTGTTGTCCAGTCTCTTCTCTGTCTTCTTTTCTCAACAATAAATGTGCCTCTTTATTTAACTCTTCTTCATAGTTCAAGTTCTCTAAACTTTTTTTTTCATTTTTATGGCTGTCCTCTGGACTCTCTCTCTCATTTGTCCCCATGTTTCCTAAAGTGTACGGTCTAGAATTGGACTTAGTACTCCAGCTGAGGCCTCACAAGCTGATAATTAGAATGCGACAATTACTTCTTGTGTCTTACATACAACACTCCTATCAATGCAACCCAGAGTATTAATCTTTTTCACAGCTGAATCACATTGTGATTTGTATTCAATTTGTATAATCCACTATAACCTTTTGATTCTTTCCAGCAGCTCTACTACCTACCCAATTATACTCCATTTTATAGTAGTTCATTTGATTTTTATTTCCTAAGTGAAGTACTTTGCACTTACCTTTACGGAATTTCATCTTGTTGATTTCAGACCAATTCTTCAATTTGCCAAGGACTTTTTTACTTCTAATCTTGTTCTCCGAAATGATTTCATCCCCCTCCTAGATGCTATCATCTATAAATTTTATAGACTCTCCATTCCATTATCCAATTCATTAATGAAAATGCTGAATAGTACTATATACCCAGGACTGACCTTTTGTGGAAACCCTCTAGATGCAGTCTCCCAGTCTGATAGCAAACCACTGATAAGTACCCTTTGAATAGGACCTTGCAACCAGGTGTGCACCTACCACATAGTAATTTTATCAAGATTATATTTCCCCAGTTTGCTTATGAGAATGTCACATGGGACAGTGTCAATGGCACAACAAAACTGTAAGATTGCTAAAAAAGCACATGATCTTATACAATTCGGGTGATGGGAATGAAAGTGTATAGAGCTGAGGTCAGAGACAGATGAGCCCATGTAATGAAATGTTAACACATCTTTACTGACTTCTGTGAGTTCCATGAAGCACATAACATTTGATCTCAAGCCTTCCTTTATCAGTGTATTTTAGTCTTCACAATGAGCAGGAGGCATCTCCACTGCCATGTTACAATTTCAGGATTTGTTTGTTTTTTACTGTGTTTCTTTGTTTTGATACACATAACAACAAATCGGGGGTGGGGAGAGGGTAGGGGAAGGTGAAGGGAATGACCTCTAAGAGAGAAGTAGAATTTCAGAGATGGCAGTTTGAGGTTTGAGAAGCCAGGCTTCTAACTTTGTCTAAAGACCAGATCACTACTACTTTCAAATGTGGGTAATGCAAAGCTTCTTTCTTTGTCTGCCAGTAGGGACCTCTGGCCACTAGGACTTCTGGAAGCTGTAGGCCTTTCTGGGCAGACATGGTGGGAAAGGGGACCAAATATAAACTGCTTCATTCTCTCAAAACAGGACAGACTGTAGAGGAGTCTGGCCTGCTTGCAGTCTTTCCAGGAGATAAAGAAACTTTGTTTATTTGCTTTGAACTTTGCCAGATACCAATACCCAGGAGGAGAGGCTAATTTTTGCATATGAACATGATGCAAGAGTTTTCACTTTGCTGTTTACCTTTGCCACTAGACCTCTGGGTTCACTAGATGAAGGCCTAGATAAATGAAATCTCCAAGTGAAGTATGATATTGGATGATCTCCATACACAACACCTGCTGTGATGGGGTTCTTTTTATTCTGTTTTATGGCTCACCAAATTTCTACTCACAAGCAATAATACCAAAAGCCCCACATCAGTTTCTCTTGTGATCAATGATACCAAAGTAGTGTACAGGATAAGAGATGTTCCCTTTTCCTAGTACATAATGCACTGTCTCTGAAATACAAATCTTCTACTGATGAACAAATGAATGCTTTACTATTGCACACTTAAATGATTACATCCCTATGATTCTTCCTCCAGGTGGGTATTCATTGCTTTGCTGCAGTTATTGATAGAGCTGGTCTCTTATTCACTGAAATATTACATTCATCAAGTACAATCTTCACAACAAAAAGGAAGTGGGAGAAACCAATTTTAAAAATTGTGAAGACAAATAACATATGCATTGTAATCAATCATATTCAGGAAGAATTCCTGTAATCCAGGACAGCGATGTGCAATCAGTAATGTGAGTGTATATAGTGCTGTATTATTATACATTTTTGGAAGGATCAACTAGATAACCAGTCATACTGTATTATTAAACAGTAACATTTCCAATGAAATACAAAGCACCAAAGGCAACCATCTCCATCCCTTGACAATGTACATGTACAGTACAGAAATGCACAGTCCAAATTAATTTACCTGTATATAGTTTGAGTCAGATCTGTTTATTTTAAATCAAACATACATCTCTATGCAAGGATGAACCAGATTAACAGTTCTGCTGATGAAATATAAACTAGATTCCAACTACCTCCTTTGCACTTGGAAAACACCATGGAAAAAATGGAGTTGCACAAATGTAACCAAGGACAAAGTTTCACATACAAAAGCTTTATTATCGGTGACGATGCATAAGTATTACTAATAAATAATAATAATTCATAATAATATCAGAAATCCAAGTTAGCTTTCAGCTCTCAGGCAGAGTTTGCAATAGTGGTATTTAACAAACAAAAATCAAAATCTCTTGCATGATCTGCAATTAGTGAAACACAATAATAATAGAAATCAACACATCGTTACAGATAATATACCATTCATAATTTTTCTGACTGCTGTATATTTTCTCAAATTAAACAATTTTTCTTATGAAGTATATTTAAAATTAAAAGTCCATGTGTCTGTGTATAGAATATCTGTCATTACCATTAACACAATGATGCTGTGAGTTTCATAAGCATAAAAATTCAGTTTAATGTATTAATATAGCGGTTAACTTTGAAGATCTCTTTCTCATGAGAAACTGCTCAGCTTTTTTTTCCAGTGGCACCTATGTACAGTATGCATTTTTATTTCTATTTTCATTGACTTGAGTAACTGTTTTGTGGACAATGAAATTTACTGTCCACTTCTGCAGAATAAAATACACCATAATGTTGACGCATAGCTTGCTGCAAGGCCAATGTCATCATTCTAGGTAACCTTCGGCTGAGATGAGAGACCTCAGCACTGTAAATATACAATATGCATTCCAAGCAAAAACTGCCTAGAAGAATAACTTCATTATTCTGGGAAGTTGGATCTATAAAAGATGTAAAATGTAGGAGTGTTCTGTCTATACAATTTCTGGTAAGTACAGAATGACTCAGTGATAAAACCTGAATCAGCTTCAGTTATAGCATATCCTACAAAAAGTTCATTGTCATATGAAAGAAAATGCAATATATTGGGGGAAAAACATTTTTGTGATGAACTAAAATTATCTGTTCTATTTTGGGTTTATATTGTGCTCTCACATTAACAAAAAGCAAAAATTGTCAAAGTCAAACATTCATTCATGTTGTTCCAGCTTCTATGACACAAGGCTATATGAAAATAGAACATATGAAGAACTCACCAATACTATTGGGCAGATTGCTGTGGGTGGTAAAATATGGTCCTTTAAAGGGCCACAGTCACATTCAGGCTTTAGATGTGAAGCACATTTATTATGGAGCTGCAGGGAAGAGAAAGAAAATTAATAATAATCACCACAGTACCTCTGTAAAGAACCTCTGCCCTATCTAAAATAGTGGAGATATGAATACACTAGATCAGTCCAATAATTAATACATGAAAATATTTAAGAATTGTTGTCAAGTGGCAGAAGTATTCCACTCATCTACAGAATTCTAGGAACTCATTTTGCTTCAGTTTAATTAGAATTCTGAAAACTAGAAAAAAGCAATAGTTAATACTCACTGCAGATCAATCAGTCCTGAACAAATGAACTGCCCTCTTTTTTTTTAAGCACATACAACAGTGAAAACACTGTACCTTAAATGGAGCTAAGTGAAAGTTTTGACCTGTTGAGTTCTAAAGTGTAGTGTGGAATCAGAGGGAAGGAAGATGAGATTGGGTCTGTGTTTAGATTAATAACAACTTTGAATTGTTTCCATTGTGTGGGTAAGTATACTGAGTGTGGAACCAGCCATCGAGGAACAGAAGGACTATAGCCATCTGTCTTGGTGAAAAGGGGACATCAGAATAACTCACTTTATTTTGTTGAATTTCCAGCTAGGCCTTCGATAAATGAGGAAACTGGGAAAAGGCAGACAAGAGGTCATTGTCCATGGGAGTACGAGGGCAACTCCTCATGAATGTTTCCCTAGGCCAGGCCTGGGGCAGTAACGAGGACATTACTTGTTCCAGTAAGTAGAGAAGCAATCTGTAGACAAGGTTACTCAGAGGGCAAATAGATGTCAAAGCATCTCTGTGTTCAGTTCCCATTTGGGGTCATGACAAATTCTGACAGACTTGAGTTGTCATGCCCTGTATCTCTGGTAGATAGATAGATGGGATAAATATGTTGTGAGGGATGCACCATTTCCACACTCTGAGTGCTTCCTTGAAGAGCAAGGGTGATCTGGACCCTCTTGGTGATTTATGTAAAAGATAGAGGTCATTTTGAGTCATCATGAACTTCACATGGGCATTCTTGATAAAAGGCAAAAAGTGCAGAAAAGCATTCCTACCGCAAACACTTAGTTCCAAAAGAGTGACATGTAGGATCATTTCTGCAGAAGGCTATTTCTCCTCGACATGGTGGTTGTGTAGGTGAATTCCCCAGCCTCCTAGGAAGGCATCTGTCCCAAGATGGTAAGTCTGTGTACTGCATCGAGGGTGGAGCTGAGAACTTCAGTTGCAATACTGGGGTTAGTGCTCTAGTTCAGTCAGGAGAACTGTGGTGAATAACCTTGATGGAACAATCTGTACGGATAATGGTCCTGCCCAAAGGTAGTGTTGGAAATCTTTGGCTGCTAGTGTGACCATCTGCACCTTTCCATATTTGCTTAATACCCTTAGATCTAGAAGGGGAATTAAACCTCCCTTCATTTTGAGGATCAGGAAAAAATATGAGTAAACCCTCTTGCTCCTGACTTGCAGCAGGGCTGGTTCAATGGCATTTAATCCCAAGGGAGTTAAAAAAAGGAACACAATTAGGAAGAACAAAAAACCCCAAAGCTACTAATTATGCTAATGATATATAAGGAAGGGACAACTGTTCTCTCCATAACAGAGAGGTAGCCCAGTTAGTCTGAACTTGGTAAAACAAAAAAAAGCAGTCATGTAGCACTTTAAAGACTAACAAGATGGTTTATTAGGTGATGAGCTTTCATGGGGCAGACCTGAAGAAGTGGGTCTGCCCCACTAAAGCTCATCTCCTAATAAACCAGCTGTTCCCAAACTTTTCCAGATGGGGATCCATTTTGACAATTCAGGAAGACGTGGTGACCCAAGGCAATTCAAAAACAGGGGAATGAGGGGGGGCAGAGCCATCTGGGGAGATATTTGAAGACCCTTTTGGAATTTAATGGCAACCCATATTTGGGTCACGACCCATAGGTTGGGAAACCCTGTAATAAACCATCTTGTTAGTCTTTAAAGTGCTACATGGTTGCTTTTTTTGTTCTCTCCGTGTGAGGCTAACGGTGGTTGAGAAGCAAGTGAGAGGCTTTTGCCCACCCAGTGCTAGATAGCCTCAACGTACATCACTGGGAGGGAGAGCACATGCATGGGCTCAACGGGCACTACTACTAAAAATCTTCTATTAGAGGCACGGGGACACACAAACTACAGTGGAGCACTCAAAGGTACACTACTCGAAGAAGAAACAATTTTTCAAATGTTTAGAGAGGTTAAAAGTGTTATTGGGAAGGGGACTATTCTTCAACCTATAAAGCCATTTATATCTCACTTTGTTCTCTTTATCCAATTATTTAATTTCTTGGCATTTCTCATTCAGCCATTTGGGCTTTATTAATCTGCATTTATGCTTTATCATTTTATTGTGTCTTCAGTGTTTCTGTTCCAGTTCTGGATCTTTGTGCTTTTTCCTTTGTTTTGTCATCCATCAAAGCAATGATTTTTCTATGTCATCCATGGGTTTTTCATAGTTTTTAACATTTTCCCTAGACGTTTATCTGGAGATTCTTTGGTAACTTCTTTCAGACATTCCCAAATCACTCAGCTTTTTTTTTTAAACCAATGCTTCATATTGGTAGTAGATTTTTAGCTCAGAGCTTGAAGGTTCCATGATACATAGCATTTGGCTTTCTGCAGCTGTCTCAGTTTGATGTTCACATACACTGTCTCAGCAGTACCAATCTATGAACTGATCTACAATCTATACTAGGCGTGATCTTAACTTTTCTAACACTATTTCTATACCTATAGTTGATTGTGATAAAATAAGTTTGTTTTTTATACATCCCTCCTGGTGATTCCCAAATGTGCCTTGCACTTTCTTTTAATTCAAAATAAGTATTTCAGATAATGAGATCACGTTTCTCCCAAGAGTTTACAACTCTTTCTTCTCCGTTGTTTCTTTCATGAAGGACAAATAAACCAACTGTGATAGTCTTTCCCCTCCTAATTTTACATGCCAGTCTCAGATAAGAATTAGTCTATTTTTTTCCACCACAGATGTCCATTACCTCAATGTTTACACAGAATGTTTCAACATCCTCCTCAAAACATGCAGTCGTAGAGGCATATACTTGAGTAATCATATTTTTGGACTTTTTTTTAAAAATCGGTATTACCATTGCACATCCAGATAATATTCTCACTTAATTTACCCAGTTACAATCCTAGCTATTATAATTGTGACTAATTACGTTGGCATCCTCCTTCACTGATAAGTCTGAATTCTTTGCTCCACTGAAGACTTGCAACAAAATCTAGACCTCTTTAGAATGCTTCATGTTTTCCCATTATTGTAACATTTATTTGCATATATTGACTAGGTTCCTGGGTTGATTCAGTTCCCTTACAATCCATGCAGCAAGCCCAACAGTTGCTAATTTCAAACATCTGGCCAGGCAGGGCACTGGTTCAACACTAAGAGCAAACCAGTTTGCATGACAGTTGAAGAATAGTAAGTCATGTTGTCCTGATATAACATGGGCTAATACTGCACAAGTGCCCCAACAATTAAGTGCAATCAGTTTTGGGAGGCTTGGAATTGTAGTTTTTAGCCAAAAGACTCAACCCACAAGGCAGCTGCGAAGAAAAACTTCCTTTTGTTTGTTTTAAGATTGCTATCTGTTAATCTCATTTGGCGACCTCTAGTTCTTATGTTATGAGAACAAGTAAATAACTTTTCCTTATTCACTTTCTCCATACCTGTCATGATTTTATAGACCTCAATCATATTCCTCCATAGTCTCCTCTTTTCTAAATTGAAAAGTCCCAGTCTTTTTAATCTATCTTCATATGTTACCCATTCCAAACCTCTAATCATTTTTGTTGCCCTTCTCTGAGCCTTTTCCAATGCCAATATATCTTTTTTGAGACCACATCTGTACGCAGTATTCAAGACGTGAGCATACCATGGATTTATATAGAGGCAATATGATATTTCCTGTCTAATTATCTATCCCTTTTTTAATGATTCATAACATTTGGTTTGCTTTTTTTGACTACTGACAAAAAAAATCCATATTGAATGCATGTTTTCAGAGAACTACCCACATTGACTCCAAGATTTTTTTCTTGAGTGGTTATATCTACATTATTTTGAATGTGTAGTTGGGATTATTTTTTCCATGTGTATTACTTTGCATTTATCAACATTACAATTTATTTCCCATTTTGTTGCCCAATCACCTAGTTTTGTGAGATCCTTTTGAAGCTCTCTACTGTCTACTTTGTTCTTAACTATCTTGACCAGTTTACTATTATATGAAAATTCTGCAACCTCACTGTTTACCCTTTCTCCAGATTATTTATAAATAGGTTAAATAGGATTGGGTCCAGAACAGACCCTTGGGGGACACCACTAGATACTTCTCTCCATTCTGAAAACTTACCATTTATTCCTTTACTTTGTTTTCTGTCTTTTAACCTGTTATCAATCCATGAAAGGACCTTCCCTCTTGTCCCATGGCAACTTACTTTACTTAAGAGCCTTTGGTGAGGGACCTTGTCAAAGGCTTTCTTGAAATCTAAGTATACTATATCCACTGGCTCCACCTTGTCCACATGTTTGTTGACCCCTCAAAGAACTCTAGAAGATTAGTAAGGCATGATTTCCCTTTACAGAAACCATGTTGACTTTCCCCCATAGTTTCAGCTAATTTTCCTGGTACTGACATTAGACTTGCTGGTCTATAATTGCCAGGATTACCTCTAGGACACTTCTTCAGATTTGCCACCTGAAAGGAATGGCTTAGGTTTGGGACTCTCCCTAACATCCTCAGCCCTGAAGACTGAAGCAAAAAATTAATTTAGTTTCTCTACAACGACCTTATCATCTTTGAGTGCTCTTTTAGCATCTCAATCGTACAGTGCCCCCACTAGTTGTTTAGCAGACTTCCTGCTTCCGATGTACTTAAAACCATTTTGCTATTACTTTTTGAGTCTTTGGCTATCTATTCTTCAAACTCCTTCTTGGCTTAAATTACAAAATGTGGCCGATATGAAGGTTCAGGCAAAAATAGACAATAAATGTTT